AATTGATAATCTCATATTCTGGTCGCAGTGGATCTGTATTTTTATACCTTTTTTAATAACTAAATGCAGTCTCTTTTTAGATGCTATCACAAAAAAATTGGTGCAATGAACGCTGTTTGACGTGACTGTAATATAAACGGTGCTCACTTGAAAAATAGAGGGCAATAAAGGAAATCTTTTTATAATGTTTCTTAATATTAAATACTTTTCTTCCGGAATATGGAGCGGTTCTTCTGGTGACCTCTTTCTGTTACAGTAGAAACTTCTTTATCCTCGTAATAATATTATGAGTGATAAAAAACGACAATGAGCTATAGGATAAATCCTTAATTATGTGGAACCATTTAAAAATTTAACTCAATATTTTAAACTTGTAATACAAGTTAATAAAACTTTTAAACGAAAATTCATTAGGGTATATAAAGCCGGAAATTACTCTTAGATGATCTTAATAAATTATTACTATGAATAGTAATAACAGCCCTACTATACTTTTGAAGTATACATTAATAAAATGGCAGAGAGAAACATAAAATTTGAATTATTATGGAATTAATAAATAAATTACAAAAAAAAAAATTCGTTACGAAATCATTTTTAAATTTAAAAAAAAACGAATCAATTATGTTGTATCATAATTCTAATTCTAGCTGTTTATGAGATAGAAATGCGGATTTGAAAACCCGAATGAACAGGTTCCGCTGCATGGCTGATCCAAGCCTCCGTAAATAATTCAACCCATACCGCTCTTTTTCTTAGACTCGATCTTGCTGTTACAATCAAATACGCGCTATTTTTTTATTTTTTTACACAAATTGGAGTAATGTGCTTAGAATCACAGTAACACCAATTACAATAGTACCCATTTCTTGATCTTCCTCTTCTTCTCTGGAGGCGCCGAAGACCGATATCCGGTCTGTTACTCCCCTCGACTGGCTATAATTAAACGGATTCCCCAGCGTTAAAAAAACAGTTGAAGTTAGCAAGTTCTTTCAGGCTGAGCCCCGTGAACTTATCTACCCGTCCGCGCGTATTCGATTAGCCCAGTGGTCGGCAAACTTATTAGCCAAAGAGCCAAATATGCAACAAAAACAACTTAAAAATTTTTAGAGCCAAATCTGTTTGTAAATATAGTAAACATTTATTATTACAAATCGTAAAATAAATGCTATATTGTATACTGCTTCGATTAATATATGTAATGATCGAGATCAGTCAGGGGTGCTGATATTAAATGACCGTACATACTATTAACCGGCTTTTTCGTCCGCAACCGGATAATATCAGAGGCCGGGCAAGCCCGTAGGATATTTGTGCCAGTGCCACACTCAAGAGTTCAGAGCCGCACTTTGCCGACCTCTAGATTAGCCCCTTAGGTTACTAAAGATTAGATAGGAAAAAGAGGATGGAATGTTCTGGAGCAATTCTCGCTTCACTATTAGATACTATTCCGGCAAAATTAACAGCTGACTTGTCAATTATCATGAAAACTGCTAAACTTTCGTGACGAACAAAATAATAAAAAGCCCTAATTTTTTTATTCTGTGAATTACTTCAAACTTTGCACTTATTTAGCCTTCAATATTTGTCCCGTTAGGTTTTCAAATAATTTGCATCGGCAAAATTAATAAGCACACAACGATTTTGTAATTATTTTCGTATAGAAACGTGACGAAATAATTATGTTTATAAACTAATTTGTGTTTACTCAACAATTATAAATATAGGTTATGTTGACTGCGAGAACTTAAATGATGATTGCGATTTTATTATTTTTTTAATGATTAATCAATATATTTGTCATAAAGGTCAAGTATTTTCATCTATTGCCTCTGCTAGTATAATATTTAAAGGTTGAAATTTAAATAACAGTTTCTAGGAATGAATTCGTTTTAAAAATCATTAATTGTGTTATGTATTTAGAATAGTTAATATATCACAACGTGTATACCACGATCTAGCTTGAGAAATGAGGTCGATGTGTCCATGGTATTGTTTATCAAATATCCATTAGTTCAACCGGAAAGGACTAACTACTTTGCGGCAGAAATGGGTAGGACATTAGTAGAATACAAAAGTCGTACCATTTACAAAAATAAGATACGATTTAAAATGAATATATTTTTCAGAGCTATCTCGCATTGACCTTTTTTTTTTGTTATATTCTTACACTTTCTTAATTTACTCGGGTTTTGTAAAAAATATTATAATATGATTTTCGTATCTCAATTTTATCTTTTTGCCCTTTTCGAAATTGCATATTCAATTATATTTGTACCAAATTATGTATCATCCAACAGAAATTAAGAATAAGTCTTCGACTGAACCAACTAATTAGATGTTGGATCCTTGGCAATATTTAAATCTGTAAAGCATATAAGTTTAAGCATTACATGACTTACGGACTGGTTCCTTAAAGTCGGGACACTACTATTAAATACTTACTGTAACTATTATAATACCGAACATTTAAAAGAAATACGTTGTACCAATTTACTAGTGATACTTAACGCAGAGCAGTTTTTTTATTTGGATGCATAAAAAAAACGAAGTAAAAAAACCGGCTTAAGCAGAAAAACAAGTTTACTTTTTAAGGGAAACCATAAAATTTCTTAAGAGCAGATATGACGGTGGCAAACGTAATGGGAGCGACCGGAATGTCGTTCAGTGTTCTCGAATTTCATTTTAACTGGAAATCAACGGTACATTTTAAGAATACAGTCTATTATTTATATCATCATTATCATAATTGAAAAGATTAGTAGGCGGCGGCTCGGCTCTGCCCCTGGCATTGTTGAAGTCCATGGACGACGGTAACCACTTACCATCAGGTGGGCCGTATGCTCGTCTGCCTACAAGGGCAATAAAAATAAAAAGACTCTTATTAGATAAAATTCAATCTTTCCTTTCATGTTTTATGTGATGGCCCATTATTTTCACGCGCTTTTTTCTTCTGAATTAATTCACCAAACGGTTCCGTATTTCATTAAAACACTTTTTACGGTTTCATTTCGGCTCTACATCACTATATTATGTCCGAAGTTTCAGATACTATATAATTTTCGTCGTCACGGACTGACGGATGCTTAAACCATAAAAGCATTTTTAATTATATCTATACTACTCGCGTAAACCCAATAAATGCCCATAATTCAACACTGAATCGCAAAACTATTTAATAGAAAGTAAACAAAATGTCAAAATCTTTAGTAATTCTAGTTTCTGAGAAATTATTCCTACTTATATGAAGTCAGCTTAGAGGTAGAAGACCTACACTGAACACATTGCCCATCGTATAATTCATAATATACTTTTTTGTTTTAAAAATAATTTCTACACCGAATCTAAGTCTAGTGAATCTTTAAAAAAAAACATCCGATATACCAATCTATATTTATTTATTTTTCTACCTAAGCTGATAGCCTTAAGAGGCTATATCAGCGTCGCCTTAACTAGTTCACGGGGCTCAAACCTGATGACGTTGCTAACACGAACCCTAACAAGAGCCGGGCTTCGCAGAATCTACCACCGGATCGGAAACGCGACCCACTGAGAAGATCCGGCGAGAAACTCAGTGGGCTGTGTCTGAGGATTAATTTACTCGTCGAGCCCTTCGTCGCAAGCGACGGGTTCGACGGGAACGACGACTGGTGCTTGAGGTACCTAGAAGCACCGTTACCGATCTAAATTAACCATCGATTACAATGAAACATATCGATTTTAAATAATACGATATGTGAATAGAACGCGGGCGTGTGAAAGTTATAACTACTATTGTCCTTTTACAATGGGTCCGAGCAATTGACTTTGTGATCATAGTGAAAATTTGCTGTTCATACCTAAATAATATAACCTAAACGAACGCTCAGGATTCGCACGTATTAATATTAAACAAGAGAATTCGACTTTGTTTATTAATTAATAAGGTTGGTTGATTAGAAGATTAGGTTAGTTGATATTATTTTGTACCATTTTATTACTTAAACTTAATTTAAAGAAAACAATTAGAATATAAAGTACAATGACCGCTTAATCGTCAATTGGATCGAATTGAGTACGACTTATTGGATTGGTTTGGTTCTAAATTACTGCATTAGGTAACTACCATACTATGCTAATTTCAATTTATAATATTTATTATACGTACATTTTTTTATATAATACATAAGTTACCTATATTATATGTCTTCGTTTGTTTATTTTTCTTTTTATAACATATTTTATATAGCTCTAAATAATTATTTCTTCAACAGATTAAAAGATGATGTTTATAAAATACTAACCGTAATCGCCCGCTTCGCTGGGCATTTAAAATTAACATTATCATTTATTGTCATTATTATTAAGTATGTACATGTATTTTCAACATGGATACCAAGTTTCAAGTCAATCGGATGTATGGTTCAGTAGCTATAACGGAACATCCGTAAAGACCACTGTAGACTTATATATTAGTATAGACTAGAGGACCCGCAGTAAATGAAATTCGACTATAATTAATTGGAATTGTAAGTTTGTACACTATTATGATTGAATTTTATACTTCTATAATCACAAATTTCGCCAAGACTACACTATAAAAATATTAACAAAGACAAACAATATTTAATCTATTCTCAATTTGACAACAGACGTCAAGAACAAAAGTTGTCAAACTTAATAGTATGCATGCGTGTGTGCGTCACATCCATTGTATGTAGTGTGTGTAATGTTTTCTTGATTGATTTATGTATCTTTTATGCATTATTTAAAAAAAATATTAGCATTATGCACTTCTTCTCTATATTCTCTATAAGTGTGGAAAATTTCATACCCCTCCGTCCGCGCAATTTTCTTAAAAAGGGATACAAAATTTTTGCTTCACGTATTAATATATAGATTCTCCAACTACAAACTAACGTGGCAAGAATTTGTGAATCATTGAATTTAACATTGACTGGACTGCTTTTCTAAAACGATACAATATAATGTTTGAACTTATTTTTGTATTTTGGTTTCAGGTAAGTTTCAAAGTGAGTCATTTCGCTGCACTTCTGTGGATCTACAGTAAGAATTTTTATTACTAATCGTGATTCAGTTTTGTTTTTTACATTCGTATATTCCATTTATTTGATCGCTATTTGGATTCGTCGAGGATTTTATCGTACTTATTAGAAAGTAGCGTAATTACGACAGAACGTCAATTTAAAAATCATTGGAAAAACAATATTCATAAGAAGTATGTTCAAATTTAACTTTCTGTCAATTACTAGACTATGCAACTATAAGAAAACAAAGTTTTTTTATTTTATGTAACATGTTAATAAAACGGTTCGTTCACAAATCAACGATCTGTTATATTTTCCGTTTCGTCGTGGAAAATATAAAAATTCTATAGAAACAATTTGAAACATTGCTTCTTATATATTCTACCTATAAACTACTCAAACATTACCTAAAACTGCACACACTGCTCTCAGTGTCTAGCTGTTTGACGAACCGTTACGTTTTTTTTTTTTTTTTTTTCCTTAATCGATTATTGTAAACTAGTGGACCCGGCGAACTTTGTTCCGCCACACGGTTTGTTTCAAACACATCAACCGGTCAACTTCAAAATTCTACGATAATTAACCATAGAATATATTACGTTTAGCTGTCAGTTGCGTTTTGTTATTCCATATCAGTTGCGTTTTGTTATACCACGTTTTATGTCACGTCCCATGTGAACGTGATAAAAAGTATCCTATGTCCTTCTCCTGGTTCTAAGCTACCTCCCCACCAATTTTCAGCCAAATCAGTTCAGCCGTTCTTTAATTATAAATAGTGTAACTAACACGACTTTCTTTTATATATATGGATTTTATCGGGATTTTCAATTATTTCTTCTGACTTTTAGATAAAAAGATCTAGACAAAGCAATCGAAATAACTAATATCATTGTTCATGTATTAATCGTGACTTGTATTTTGGGGATCGAAGCATTATTTCACAGCGCTATCCAATAAGCGAAAAACTTTAGCTTTTGGTTCTTAACGTATGTAGGAAAATTAAATACTTCAGACAGTTAATTTACAACATATAAGTATGTGAGGCCGTCAACGCAAAAGTAGCCTAACCTACAATTTTTCATAATTGTGCTTATATGTATATTGCAATTTATTTAAATTTTGATGCAAATCCGGCCTATCCTGTTCCTCCCATAGATAGCAGATGATGGCTTGGTAATCATTATTTTTGCGCGTATTGTTTTTTTGCCTACTCAAATTTAAATTCATGAGAACTTAAACATCCATTGCTCCATAATAACTATGGTAAGCTGAGGCCACTTTTGCGCTGACGGCCTCATGTATACTAGGATTGGTAAGAACGTAACATATGAAAAGAGCTTAGAAAGGAGCGTTAAGATGTGAGTTAGAAAAACGGTAAGAAAGAGAAACAAGAATGACAAAGAAAAAAAGATGGCGAAGACGGTTGAATGAGCAAGGCGCAAAAAGGTGTCAGTTACTTTTTTATTATTATATTAAAGAAGCTTTTGGAAAAGAAGAATAAAAGTGCAACAGTTTGCATACTTTTATTTTATGAGCCACGATCTCAATTCTATATATTATTATGTGTACACATGTATTTCGTAAACACGTATCCACAGCTCGAAGGTTAAAATGAAAATGTCACCGAATTTCACCTGCATATCAAACGGGAAATCTACATAATGAATGTAAATGTGAATTTTCTTTTTTTTTTAATGTATTTGTTCACGCGATTCTGGTCGGTTTCTCGTCTCCGGCTCTGGGGCAGGTGAACCTTGAATAAGACAAATGGCGGTTTGTTTACGTCAAACCGTCCTTTGACGTCTCATTCGTTTATTTCAGGGCTGTCAGGCAAAGCGGCTCTAGTAAATACATAATTTATAAGGCGAAATATGTTATGCATCAATGGTTCAGTATTTGTGTCGAATTCCTGTTACTGCCTTATTTAGATGAATTTAACAATAGGCCTTTGTGAGATTGGTATTGGTAGTCGAACGTGAACTAGAATTTGTACGGGATCATTTGGAAACAATTCATTTTGCATTATTTCAACAGTAAATATATATTTTTTTATTACATAATTAAATGATTCAAGATAAATGGTATTGAATGTATCAACAATGAAGGTTGTTTTAACGGAACACAAAAAAAATTACATCCTTAAACGAGGCTAAAGAAAAAGTGGTCCTTGAAACTTAAATATGAATCGAACCCCGAGTGAATGTCGACTGCATCAGATAGCTCCCATAGTGTCCCGTTGGAAGCGAATACCATGACAGAAAGAGAGCGACGGTCAATGGTTGTAAATAGAAAAGGACAAAACATTACTGTTTTTTGTGTTCCAACCTGAATGAGGATTTGCTTTTTTTTCCTACCTATGCTGATAGCCTTGAGAGGCTATTTCAGTTTCTCCCTGACGTGTAAGTGAGCTCACAGGGCTAAAACCGGGAGTGCTGCTAACACTGGCCCTAGCAAAAGCAGTGCTTCGCAGAATCTACCGCCGGATCGGAAACGAGACCCACTGAGAAGATCCGGCGAGAAACTCAGTGGGCTGTGTCTATGGGCTAATTCACTCTTTGAGCCCTTCGTAGCAAGCGACGGGTTCGACGACGGATAGCTCCCATAGTGTCCCGTTGGAAACGAATACCATGACAGAAAGAGAGCGACGATCACTGGTTATGAATAGAAAAGGACAAAACATTACGGTTTTGTTTTTGTGCCAACCTGAATGAGGCTTCGCGTTCTCATACTGGATATCGGGATATCGTGATCAGACACGACTAAAAACTACTAACAGCCATCAATGCGCCATTATGCTTCAGTTTTTTGTTTTACTTAAAGCGATTGCTTGGACTAAAATCTGGGTCACTTTCTAACGTTTTTTTTTTAAATCCATCATGCTCTTTATCGTTTATAGAGTTTACTTTTAAAAAAAAGCCCAATCATTTTCGATAAAGAGTAGGTACGATACTGCATAAATTTAAAGAACTATTAGGTAGTTTAGGTAAGGAAGTCATAAAGAAATCGATTAAAAACACCTCTTAATAGGGCAAGCTTAAATTCTCACGATAATAATTCGAGTGGTTTCGTTTTTCATATTTATCCCCGCAAACGGCCCTGCTTCTGTATTCGATAATGGGTAATTTATTTATTAGAACTACTTAATTATCTCCTTCAAGAAATTAAATAACATTTTGATCAACACGTTTAATGGGTACATCGTTGTCTTGACTATTCTAATCGCTACTAATGGTTTAAATAAAATCAATAATTCTCAAACAAATAAACTTCACATTTGTAATTCATCTTCCTTTAAATGTATACTATTTATTGCTTTATATTTTTTGATGTATACATTATTGTTTATTGATGTATACATATTTTCAAGTTATTCATTTTCATATGGGCCACAAACCTCAACATAGTACCTTCTCATATAGGAGGAACTACCTAACGAATCATTTTTTCATGCATTATCATTATAACTTCGCGACAACGACTTGTCAGTCTGTCAGAACATAGTACCTTCCCATACAGGATGAAATACGTGACGAATGATTTTTTCATGCATTAAAAGTCGTAATAACTAGTCTGTCAGACCATAGTACCTTCCCATGCAGGATGAATTACTTGACGAACATTTTTTCATGCATTAAAAGTCGTATAAAAAACTTCGCGACAACGACTAGTCTGACAGACCATAGTACCGTCCCATACAGGATGAATTACTTGACGAATCATTTTTTCATGCATCAAAAGTCGTAATATAACTTCGCGACAACGACTTGTCTGACAGACTATATATAGTACCTTCCCATGCAGGATGAATTACTTGACGAATCATTTTTAATAAAACTTCGCGACAACGACTAGTCTGACAGACCATACTATCTTCCCATATAGGGTGAATTACTTTGACGAATCATTTTTTCATGCATTAAAAGTCGTAATAAAACTTCGCGACAACGACTAGTCTGACAGACCATACTATCTTCCCATATAGGGTGAATTACTTTGACGAATCATTTTTTCATGCATTAAAAGTCGTAATATAACTTCGCGACAACGACTTGTCTGACAGACTATATATAGTACCTTCCCATGCAGGATGCATTACTTGACGAATCATTTTTTCATGCATTCAAAGTCGTAATAAAACTTCGCGATAACGACTAGTCTCTCAGACATGAAGTATACCTTATGTTTATCTTCTGCAGAAGGCCCTTTGAACATAAATCACGTTTTACACCTTAGCAACGCAAACAAACGTCCGCTATTAGGCATAGTGCTTATATACATACATATTTCCATAACTCAAATTTCAAAACACGACCGGTATTATCTCTATAAGCAATACAAACAAGTTATTGTACTCATTGTGTCCCTAATGAGTGCCGATTAAAAACTACGCGACAAGAATAACAATCAAATTAATTAGCTTCATCAACCGAACGATCGTCAATACTTCAATTAATGTTTAATTTTACTGGTGGCAGGACCACTTGTGAGTCCGCGCGGATAGGTACCACCGCCCTGCCTATTTCTGCCGTGAAGCAGTAATGCGTTTCGGTTTGAAGGGTGGGGCAGCCGTTGTAAGTATACTGAGACTTTAGAACTTGTATCTCAAGGTGGGTGGCGCGTCTACGTTGTAGTTGTCTATGGACTCCAGTAACCACTTAACACCAGGTGGGCTGTGAGCTCGTCCACCCATCTAAGCATAAAAAAAATATTAAAATCAGTTTTTTAATTACTACAAGTATACGGCTCACTTGACGTTAAATGGTTCCTGGTTAATCACGAATATAAATTTCAATGCACCTACCCTTATTTCCTCTGTATTACCTTTGGTTGACTGGTAGAGAATGCTTTAGGCATCAAGTCTGCCAATGTAAATCTTACATATAGTGTAACACAAAAATTAATAAATAAATATCTGCAGCCACAGACAAACAGTCAAAGAGGTGCCTATCGCTCCGGACTCTCTTCGAATCTGATTTGAAATGAGA